AGCTTTTCCGCGGATAAATCCAAGTGTAGAATGAGAGTAGGTGGTGGGGTCTTTTATCGGGAGCTCTCCATCAACTTAGTTTCAGACCACCAGACCACTGTAGCGTCTTTCAAGCGGAGGTGGTTGCCATCAAGGTAGCAGTAAATATACTGCTTCGAAGTGCAGTTCCCTTTGGAGAGGTATGCAACTATAATTATTTGGTATTAATTTTTTACTCGCCATTTACGTATATATAACTACTTAATATTTATGTATTTACTCAAGGTTTTCTAATTTATGCGGTACCAAATAGTATATTACGTTTTTGTTGTACTAATTTTCTTTTTTTTAGTGTATGAAACTTAGTGAAGTTAAAATAACGGTTATGTAACTGTAATTATAATGTATATAAATGTATTTATTAAACAAATAAACACATGAATTTACCAACTTTATCTATTATATACGCACGGTTTGATGAAACGATTCATAGACGTTATTGGATCAACGCCATGTCATCAGCTTATTTAACTTTACAATAGAAGTTAAATTAATTTTTGTACCAGAAAACGTGTAATAATATACTTGTAATATAATAATAATAAAATATATTTAATCTTATTATACGTACTCTTTTAGTACATACCACGTTCATACAGTAAATGTAGAATTAAATTAACAGTCCTATTTCCATGCCCTCACAATAGTCACCACTCTTAATATTAACATTCTCTGGTTTGGTTTATCTAATGCTGGCGTAAATTTAAAAGCTCATATTCTCACAATTTCCTCACAAATCTGTGACGTCTGAAAGCAACCCTCAAACTACAAAAATTGTTGTGTATGCTTTGTTTATTTCAATAATTTTAAACAAATTTGCAAATATTTGATTGAAATAGAATGGAGGAAATTTTTTTGTGTTTTACATTTACTTCTGCCTAAGTATGAATAAAAGGGCAAAATATCATTTGTTTATTGTTATAAAACAGCTGTTTGACACCAAATGCTTTTCACCTCACGTGGTGACTTTTTTAAGCTTTTTTCTTATGAGAAAATGTATGTAGTGTACGAAAAAAATAATATATATTTTTACACAAGCAAAAGAAATATACTACGTTCACGTTAGTAATTCAATTTTAATTTTTTTAAGTTTAATATTTTTATTTTTTATTTCACTTGAGACCATTCACATTTTTGATTTAGTACATCTTTCAGGTACACGAGTATAGGTACATGTTACACATATTACATTTAGTAAACCTTTATACACATACTTATGTATATAACAAAACAAATGTTAGATATTATTTAGGCTTATGTGTGTATAAAATATATGTATGTATAAAATATATTATCACTAAACATATTAAAAGTATAATATGGTATGAATAAAAATATGCATATCAAAACAGAAATAGGATTAAAATATTTTATATTAAGAAATTTTAGGAGCATTTAAAAAATCTTCATTTTGAAGATAAATTTTCACTGCTGGCAACAATTGTTATTACACATGATATATCAGAGCTAGTTTATGTTTCTGTTAGAGCTTTGAATAATTTTACATTTTACATATTAGTGGCAACACTACAGCTGCCTATTGTCATCGGTAAAATTAGAAATGGTTTTAATTTAGCTGCGAGTTTGCTGCCGTGAAGTTATCCGATCTGTGGGGGAATGTCATTGATGTAGTATAGGAATCCCTCCACAAGTTCTTGGAAGGCTCATCAGCTTGAAGCATGTTTCAGGAGGAGTGATCACAGCAAAATAGAGATAGAAATAGACAGAGAACTCTCTTTTTTTAGAATATTTTATACCATCTTCATCGACTAATTCATCCCCTGTCGGCTAATTAAATTTTCTACAAATCTGGGGAGTACGGTGGATGCTGTCAAAGTTCGTAGCTTGATACGACGAATTTGGCTGTGGCGATTGTGTCCTTCTCCAGGTGATCGAGGTAGATTACACCTTGTAAGCCCTCGAAAACAGCTACAGGCTTCAGAGCAAGTTCGCCAAATGAAGTTCACTGTTTCGACTGATCGTTGATCTTTGACGTGTGCTAGTGGATTCATATTCCTTTCACGGTTATGAAACGATGCAAAAACTCTTTCGTGATGCGCTTAAACGGCGTAAAAGAGTGCTGTGAAGTTGGGCTCGTTGTGAGCGAACGCGGCACACATTGCCCCGGCAGCTTTTCATACCCAATATACCATGCTGGATATGGCCCACGCAGATTTTTGAGAGGTCTACTGTCTCAACTATCTAGCGAACTGTGACACGTTAAAACTCATTTAACCAACTTCATCATAGAAGGTGCAGAGTTACCGTATACAAGAATATTAGTAAATATCTTTTGCGATAGTGGCGCCATCGAATGTAAAATATTGCCTCAAAACTGTAGGAACAATCACACGTATAATATTTAGTAAAGACGTAAACTAAACATATGACCGTTAAAGCCACCACTGAGTAAAATTTAGGTCTCCAAGCTTTTGAATCCGGCAGTAATTATATGCCAATTTAATCACGAAGCAAAAAATCTGAAAAAACCCCAAACTTTTATGGTCCACAGCGAAATTGGCACTCAAAAATACTTCCATAAATGCAAGGAACACCCAATAATGAAGCTGTAACGCTAATAATACTAATTCATCATTTTTTAAAAGCAACGCCAAACACCTAGCCGGCATTTTTTACGCTTGAGTTATTGAACAAAGTGCAGAAAACGATAAAGAAACACTAAAATAAAAAAGTAAAAATTAAATAAAACAACCACGTGCGCGCACGCGGGAAATTCCCAAAACAAACTAAGCCAAATGCTTTTGTGAGATTTTTCAACTTAACTGTCTCCTTTTTGAGGCATTTCTTCTTTTTTCTGCTTTATATGTCTAGTAAAATATTGTTATATGAAAATTAATTAAAGCAGGTATTTTAGGCAAATTTGCATTTTGATTTTGTGTTTTTTTTTTTTTGCCTCGCCACAAAAGATACAGAATCAAAAAAACCCAGTGGAATAAAGCAATAAAAAATAAAAATAGATTGCGATCACATAACCTTTAAACCGCAAGCAAATGCGCCGAAAATCTACAAGTCTTGGTTTTTTCGTATTTCGCTTGGACGAAAAGAGGATCGGCGCCCAAGCCACACCGCAACTATTAATCAAACAACGCGAAGTGTCACATTTGTGCGCTAATTGTATGCTAAAACCGCTAAGTAAACAAATTGACTATGCAACGAGTGGGCTAAGTGAGTTAGAGAAAGAGAGCGTGAATGTGAGAGAGACAAAAAAAATAGCGTGAAAGGTGCGAAGTGTTTAATAGGTATGTTTGCGGAATACCTACGAGGAGAAATATTGGTTAAATAGAAAAATAAAAACAAAAAACGGTTTTAATATTACTTATTTTTACATTTAAAAAACTTTTTTTAACTTTTAATTTAAATTTTCACTTGTTATAATAATTTCATTTGTTTGGTTTTTGTTAATTTGTAATTTTTTATTTCTTATTATAATAATAATATTTTGTATTTCTTATCTATCTATATCTATATGTAGCTATTGTTTAACTATTTATTGCCTTACTAATTTCGTAAAATTTCCCATTTTTTAATAGAGTTGATAGTGCAAAAATGGCGGACTACGTGATCAGCGCTCAAGTCCGTTTAAAAATTGAACAATTATTAACAGATAAGTGCAGTAAAAGGTCAGGGCAGCGGTCAAATGTGCCATTTATGTTCAATGAACTGTCTTCACTTAATTCTCTTAACGATTAAATTGCATTGTATTTGTTTAAATTTTTAAACTTATACACAAAGTCGTTAAAAAGTTATAGAACACAAACCAAAGAAGGATTTTATCCGCTACAAAACGTCGGTCAAAACCTTTTAAAAAAATCTTCAAATCGCTAAATATTTAAAAATATATGCCGATCAAAGAAACAACTGGCATAAATTACATAAACTGGTATAATTCACATAATATTGTATTAGCGAGTTAAATAAACCTATGGTGCAAATTACATAAACTGGTATAATAAAGTAAAAAATAAAAACTATATGCAAATCGAACAAACAACGGGCATAAATTACTTAAACTGGTATAACTCATATAAACTGGTATATAGGAAAAGATTGAACAGGAACTGGCCTAGTTTGATTTTCAGCGTCATTTTATTATTTCTGAAACTTTTGTAGAAAGCCGATTGGATCATTCATTTCTATTCGAATATCAATTGCATACTTCAAGTAAGGTTATACTTGAAGATTTTGTAGATTCTTACGAGAAAAAAATACACAACAATATTACTTTTGGGGAGTTTACGAGAAAATTCACGGCAAAATTTTGAAGAGAAGAAATGTTTTTTTTAATCACTGATCCTGTAAGCGGTTCTATACGGTTCCTCCTTTGGTATCTCTAGTAAATGTAGGTAATAATTTTTGGATTATAGAGGACGGTTTATCGTAGTTGCAGAGTTAACCTTAAAATATAATACTTGAGGAAATTTTTTTAATAACGTTATGCCACGCATAGATAGATGTTAAGATTATGCCAATTAAAAAATGAGGTTAAGCCAAATAATTTCCACCCAACGACCTATTCCAAGTTCTCTTTATAGATAAATTCTGGTAACTCGAATACCACACGTGCAAAGAACAACAAGCAAACGATTTTTTTATTATTTTACATTTTTTTTGTATAAATATTAACCACTTTTTATTA